AAATTTGAATCTCAGATTAGCGGAATTTGTAATAAGATCTTCGGCCAAATTACTCCCGCTAATCTGAGATTCAAAAAATTGGGGTAGAGGGGTGGTGCTTAATTTCGGAACTATACGGTATATACAGATACTATATAACGCATATTTAAAAAAGGCTTATACGTTTTTAGAAAAAAAAAATTTTACGTATCTGTATATAAATGAATGATTTACAATTTTCTAATAAAAACATGACTTCTCGTCCTCACAAACATGTACTTTTGTCCGGTCAAGAGTGGTGCATGAGGGATAGTGGTTGTCACCTTGCTGGGTCAAAGGATCATGCAACCATAACAGAACTAATTGGTAAGTGAAATCAGTGTTAATTGCTCAATTTTTTGAGGACGTGTCTTTGTAATATACAAAGACGCTTTTAGGCAAGGAGCAAAAGCAGCGGGCGCAAGAAACCAAAGAACAGATTGCAACCACTCGAAATCCAAAATTGGCTGCCGAATTGCGTGAACTTTTTTCATTTATGTTAGCAGAAAGAACGAAATATTGTACAAAAGTTCAAAATGATACCTCTGAGGCGATGATTGGAAATGAAAAATCAATAATACGTGAAGAAGATGCTGATTCAAAAGGATCTGAAATGGAAATCGACTCTGGGGCGGCAGATTTTGATGGGCAACGCGATGTTGCGTCAGACAAATCATATGAAAGAACTCGTACACATAATGCTATAAGCAGTAATTAGATTTCTTTTTAAGCATTAAATCATTGCTTAATATGCGACTATTCATAATATATTAATTGATACCTTAATATTTTCAGATCCATCAAATTCTTCATCGAGTACACGACCAGATGCAAAATTGTCAAGCGTTGAACAAGTCAAAGCGGCCAAAAACAATTTGATATCATCAAATACTAAGCAAGCTGAAGTTACTAGAACCAATGTATCAACAGCTCAATCGAATATGCTCAGAGCAAACGCATCAACGATAAATCCAGCAGTAATTCACGGAAATATGATCACATATCCGTTAAATCCTTTACCTCCTCATATTGCGGGAGTCGTATCTACCAATACGTCAGGTCAGATTATTTCACCTCCATTACATCCTCCCGGATATGCATCACATCCATGGGAGTCTATACAACCACATAGAGTTGTCCAAAACCAGCAGACAGGACAAATACCGCCTTTTTATAATCCAGTTGTACCACAAGAACCTGCGATTTATCCATATGGAACAAATAATCTTCAATTTCAATATGTGGGAAACAATTTCGCATTACCACCAGGACAATGGTCTCAACCATATGCATACGGAGGTCATCCACCTTATCAGTGGACACATCCTCATGATACTCGAAACCCATCAATGGTTATGGATTCTCAGTGGAATGCAACACAAACATCATGGTTTAAGAGGTAATTGTCATACGATTGTCTCATGTAAATTTGAATTTACTATATGTTTATCGACTCGTTTTAATTATTAATTTATTTAAGGAATAATCAAAAATAGCAAGAGTAGGTAAATTATCCATGCTTAAATAATTTCGTTTAGATTTAGTGCGATAACCTGTAATTAATAATTCACATTAATAACGATCAAAGTCGATGAACTTCTTGAAGAATGCGAACTATTAGTAAGCCTAATGGGTTATTGGTAAAATGATTTAGATCATTAGTCTAACGAGGTAAGAGTTATCTGATATTTGCATGCTAGCAAATTATCAATTCTGATTAGTGGAAAATTTTATATTTTAGTTCTTTGGATCTAAAAAAAAAAAAAACGGGATTAACATATGTTCATAAAATTCTTGATTAAAAATGATCAAAGTATTGCAAATTGCATAAATATCCAGTTCTTTGAGTAATAATTTTGAGCAAAACTAAGGATTGTGTTTAAAACTGTTCTGTTAGTACGCGTGACGTCATTATATGCGTTGGCTCATTATATATAAAAAAGGAAGTGGGTAACATAAACTAATAAACTTTGATCGGCTTAACGCGACAAGAAAAATACAGAAAAGCGTCTTCAGCCCTACATTATAGCATAAAATGTCTGAAAATTGATTTTACATATCTGATATAGTAACTAACTATTGGCTATCCATTATTTAAATTTTAATCCTTAAACCCGTGTTCAAATTTTATCTGCTTGTCTACGCACTTTCAAATAATTGGCGCGACGCGTTTTTTTAGGATCTTCAGGATTATTACCCGGCATCTTGTTAATAACCAATCAACTGTCAACTGTTAGTCGATCATGTAACTGCTACTACTTGCGCGACTTTCCGTGCTGAGCTATTTCTAATTAAACCATTGACCATTTTACGTACTGTAAAAATATGAACCTTGTTAATGTTATAGTGACGACGTCAGGCTTAACTGTGACCTATTCCGATGGAAAAAAATCAACACACCCCACGAATCTCTCGCCGGTACCCGACGAAAAGGGTAATATATTTTACCATCGACCAGTCGCCAAAAATGAACCAAAAGCCAATTTGTATGTTACAAAACTCGGTCAAGAACTGAGTAAAGAATTGAAACAACAGAATATAAAAGTTCTTAGGGGTAAGTAGTAAATATCGTCCGCGTTTCTGAACTTTACAGTAACTGCTATATTGCTTAAAGAAACTTTTTTTTTTATAAAGCTGTTTTAACTGATCTACCCGATGGATATGGATTATACGAGCATATTAAACAGTATACATCAGATGGGTCGGGGAAATCCAAACCCACAAGGACAGATACATATCTATATGGTAATTCGATTCATATATATATATATAAAGATTATTGACGCAACTAACTCGCATTCATCATATGAATGCACTTATTTAATAATTTCTCGGAATTATGTTAGAAAAATAAAATGTTGGCATATAATCGACCAATAATATAAGAGATCATAAATTGTTTAGTCCAAATAATTAGTACCTGTGATTCTACCGCTTTATAATATTTATTTGTTAAACTGTGACGCTTAAGATCATCCCATGCGGTTTTTTTATTTAACATTTTATATACTAAACGCTTAAATACTCTTAGGTAATGGATCAAAATTTCGATCACCGGCAGAATTTAAAGATCATCTTTTGTGGTTAGCTTCGGATAAGGCGGTTTCATGCAATTGTAAATATTGTGGAGGTCAAACATCAGCTACTTTAGAAGCCGTTTTCGCATCCTCGCCAAAATCATCGAGGGAACTTAATGTACAAAAGAGAAAAGCCAGCACGCTCAGGAGTGATAAAAATGAAAGCAATGTAAAATTTGTCAATATGTATCGATGCAAAGAAATTGTGTGGGGTGATATAGAATATATATTGAATTCAAGTCAGCATGAAATACTATCTAAGGAGTTAGGAGGTGATCAAATCAAGTACTGGCCGGCGTTAGTTCATCAACGTTCAAGAGCTGATGTTGACAATTTTAGAGATAGCGATAACGATTATGTAGTACTTTATGTTTTGCAGCCATTGATGTTACCTGGGACAATGAAATTACCACATAAAGCCATTCTACCATGGTTAGCATATAATCCCTCAGACTTAACACAGACGATCGAATACAACGATATCCATATTCAGTCACTTGATAGTTCAAGTCATATTCAACCACTTGATAGTTCAAATCAAATTCATGTTCAATCACTTGAGAGTCCAAATAATATTCAATCTCCCGAGAGTTCAAATAATATTCAGTCGCTTGAGAGTTCAAATAATATTAAGCCAGTTGATAGTTCAAATAATATTCAATCACTTAAACAGAATGAATTGATCAGCGCTTATCTTAAAGCTATTGCCTTAGCAGGAAGAGTTGCTTCAACGTATACTCCATTGCAACAATATAAATATATGGTGCACCCCATGTATCTGTTAAAAGTTGAGAGTTTGGGAGAAAAAAAATTGCTACTAGAAATGGAATCATACCCACATTATAGAAACATTTTGTTAGGCACTGAGCTACTACGTGAAAATGATTATGTTCGTTTGAAGCATTCTTCACGTGATTATAGCGATGAAATGCCGATTTTTAAAATAAATACTATTTATCTCAACGCTCAAAACAAAATTCAGTTGAGTGGTGATATGTTTGTCAAGGATCCGTCTATGAAATTTAACGGGAATGTACCACTATTGATTAAGTTGAATGAAGAAAATTTTGAATATGCAATGGACTTGTCTGAAATAGCGGGGCGGTATTACATTTTGCATCACATCATTCGTAGCATGCCTGCTACAGCTCAACTGCCTTATGAAGATAGGATACTATTGGTAGATGAAGCACCTAAACAAGCTGTAGTTTCAACCGGCTTAAGGAAGCAAGTGGCTAGACGGTCGATGTCATTACCCAATAAAAAGATTAAAGTTGATAAAAGATCATCATTACCTAATGAATTATTAAAGCACAGTTTATAGTGATATTGCTCAAAAGTCACTCATCTCTATCGAAATTCCGCAGAAATTTCGTTCAAGTTTTCCATTTACAAGTGGATCTGAGAGTAGGAATAAATTCTAATAATAATAATAATAAAGTATATGCAATAAAGTGATGATATATGACCTCAAATATTCAATTAATATATTGGATGCTTTAAATTCGATGATTTTATACAGTATTATCGAAATAGAAGTGTTGTTATGCACGCGCTAATGCTTGTAGTTGATCTAAATTTTGACTCGAATAAATCGAACTTTAAAAACTTGCTTGGCCGACTATACAAAGGATTGCTTTTTAGTATATATAATATATCCCAATTTTTTCTGCCAACCCACTATTAATGTTGTTAAATTTGCTTCAAGTGGGAATTTTTAATCTTTAGTAAAAATTTGCAATACGTAGTAAATACTTTATTAATATTAATTCTTTTTCTAGCAGAGTATTAGTAAGGTTTTACCAGTTTTTAGTTAATCAATAAATTGCATATGCGATAAATATCACCGCATTTCAAATTTTTTAAATATTTTGTCGTCAATATGCTGATTTATTGTTTAGACTTTTTATAACGTAAATTTGCCCCGCTTAATTGCGAATAATCGAAATATTTTGTTTTTTAAACTTAAATTTTTCGAATATTCAATTATTATTAATATTTAAAGTGTTACAACTACCGGTATATTGAGAGAGGATCTCTATTATTATAAGAAATGCCTTTCATTTTGAGCTATTCATAATTAATAGAATCTCTGCTATTTGTACCCAGGTATTTTAAATGGAAATTATAAATGCGAATCTTTTAATCAGTACAATATGTACGGATATTTTTTTAATGCTTTTTTGTAATATTACCAATAGCCAAGTTAACTTAATATACCATGCAAGAAATAAAAATTTTATTAAAATACTAGCTGAAAACCCGTGCAATAATGCACGGGAATAAATATATCTAGTCTAGAATAAATAATGAAATGTAGAATTTATATAGTATTTATTGAGATAATTATGATAATATATTATATTAAGTTAAATATATTGTATGAAAATATAGAAGGTAAATTAATTATTAAAAATTTAATTGTTTTTAATTATAAATATTATAATATTACTTAACTATTAGCTGAATATAAAATTATAATTTTTATTTAAATTAAAGTTGTAACTTAAAATATAAAATGATTTATTTGGCTACAATTAATTAATTTTTTTTGTAATAGATGGTAGGTAGCTAATTATAGTTAGAGTACTTAGTCTTTTAAGTTTTAGAAGATTTATTAGCCTAATTGGTTTAAAGATTTAATTTAAGGTATTTATGTGTTAGTCGGATTCTTATTTACTTTAGTTTGTATAAATAGGTTGCAAATTAATATTTCTAAATTATGTAGCTTAATATGATAAGGTTCGTATGATATTGAAGTGTGAAATATATGTTTTTAATATTTGGTGCAATGTTATGTAATATTTAAGTTGAAGTTAGACAATGGAATTGTAAGAAGTATTTTATATTT